AGAAGAGGAACGTCACAGACCAAGAAATGGGTCTCAGTGATACAATGGTGTTGGAGTGCACTGCTGGTAGCCGAGAGATTTGTTGAGAGCTGGAACATCAGAAAATTGTGCCCCCCCTTTTAGCTGATATACTGTATACTTCTAAAAATGAACCCAAGAAATGGGTCTCAGTGATACAATGGTATTGGAGTGCACTGCTGGTAGCCCAGGGATTTGTTGAGTTGGAACATCAGAAAATTGTGGTCCCCCTTCTGTATACTGTATACTTCTAAAAAAGAATTCAAAGCTGCGGTCATCCTTTCTGGGCACACAGGCTCCTCGTGTTGACAGAAAACAAAGAGCCCCCAATCAGTCTTTACTTTGTCCACAGTGGGGTTAATTTGGAATGTGGCAGTTTGTTTACCCTTCCCTTCACAGGTATTTTAGCTCATACTCATGGAAAAGGGTCTCAACCTTAAAGATGGAAGAGCTGGCCTAGTGGATCACCCTACAACTCCAACATTCAAGTTTCCTGACAGCATTTAGCCAAGTGCTGGAAGAAGCTCACAGGCAGGAAATGAAGGCAACAAGCACCCCAGCACCTAAGAGATGGAGGGCAAAAACACTTCATTTTGCTGCCAACACTACAGGAAGTTGCCTAACCTTTTAAAAAGCCACTTAAGTACAGTAGCAACTAAGCTATGCTATATTTTGCACCATGTGAAGAAACACTTCCTGTTTGCCTGTTTACTAAACCTAATTGGCAGGGAGGAGAGCTCCATCGGGTCAATACAACCATCGCACCAGATCAGCTAAATCACTGTGTTAGATCGGTGTTTCTTAACCTTGGGTTACTCAGGTGTTTTTGGACTGCAACTCCCAGAAACCTTCACCACCAGCTGTGCTGGCTGGGGTTTCTGGGAGTTGCAGTTCAAAAACATGTGAGCAACCCAAGGTTAAGAACCACTGTGTTAGATGACCAAGAGTGGCTTGCTACCTCACACACTTCCTCCCCTACAGGCAGTCTATTTTAAGTTTGGCACTCCTCTGGTTCAGAGCTAAAATATTGATTGCATCTACCAAAACCAGGAAGAGTAACTTTTTGGACTACAACTCCCAGAATCCCCAAGCCAGCCTTGTGAATGCAAAGGCTGCCTGAGATTCTGGGATATGTAGTCCAAAAAGTACCCATTTCCCCCACCCTTCCATAAGTAAGAGGTAATGTCTGCTCTGGATACACACATCCTCTCTCCCTCTTCCCCCTGGTGACATCAACCACCTTTGCTCAGAAGCTTTGTCTCCACATCACTTGATGTCATAGCAAAACACCTGGCAACTGCTAGGAAGATTTCTTCCAGCCCATGCTGTGTAAATAAAGGGCAAGAAAAATTATATATTTAGCAGACTGAAGAAACGATCAAAGAAATCATTACTATGCCATAAACTTTTGAACTGCTGCTACAGGAGGCAAATTAATGCCAGTATGGCTTCCTCCGATGCTCTCAGAAGAAGAAAAAAGTGAGACCAGTCCTTCGTCTGAGCCATGTCAAGTGGCCAGGCTTTGCTCCGAGGCAACTGGGGGTGGAGGGAGCAGAAAGGGGGTGGGGGTGGAATTTTAAAACCAGGACTGTGCAAAATGTGACTGATCCAGCTGCAAGAAACAGATATCCCGCCTGCCTTTGCTGCTTGCTTTTAACTGCCAAACTGGGGTTTTTACCAAGCAAGCTGCTAAATGTCAGACGCAGTGATCAGGATGCACAGAGCTTGATGGGTCGTAAGTTGGGCAGGCTGGCAAAGAAGCAAGTGAAGTTTCGCAACAAATGAAATGAAAAAGAGAGAACAAAATATGAGAGTCCTGTGACCACTTGAAAGTTAACAAGTTCCCAATGGCATAGGATTTTTCTGGGCTACAGTCCATGAATGTGCATACCTTTGTTAGCCTTCAAGGTGCCACTGAATTCAGTTATGTTTGTCACAAAAGCCTAGCATGGCTATCCCTTGGGAATCTGTTAGAATAAAACGTATTTCTCCAATGTCCATTTACTTTATCACAACATCATTGTACAGTTTAAACTTAACACACTCATACACACAGAGAGAGCCAAGAGGCATAATGGCGTAGGCAGCTATCCAAAAAGCATGGGGAGGCATTTTAATAATATTTCCAAGTGTCCAGTGACTTTGGGAGTTGAGCATCCACTGCCGTCACTGCTTGAGATCAACCCAAGGATCTTTTTAATAGGTGGTCATACAGACTCCCAATCCATCCTTCTTAAGACTTCAATCTTTATAGTATCAGACAGACAGATGTTCCAGGCAGGCACTGAATGTCTTGTCTATAGAAATGAAAACTTACTGAGCAGTGTTCTTAGAAGAGTGCAGACCTGCCAAGATTCCAAGCCAGCCACATTCACATACTGAAAGCAAGCCTTTATTCAGCTGACATCTCAGCTCTGCTCTATAAAGCACTCTGAGTAAGAGGAATAACCTCATCTGTTTCTCTTTTTACTTCGCCTAGCCTTTGGGCATGTCATTCTCAGTGGAACCCCATGAAACATACAAGTGATACTTTCTACTACAGTACTGTATCTGCAGCTTCTCCTCCCGTGCCCTCATCAGCAGGAGCAGCTGGTCCCTCCTGTCTTCATTTGTCAGAAACTACCATGGCTACGCCACACCATCTTCTAGTCAGCAAAAGAGCAAGCAAGTACCCCACAGAAAGAAGGAACAGCAACCGGAAGGATGACCTGCCTCATTAGGAGGACTGTGCCAGATCACACCAAAGACCTACCTCTGTTCAACACTCTATGCCCATATAGCCAACTGATTGTCCATGGTAATCCCACAATTAGGATTCGATCACAATAGTACCTTCCCACTTACATCCTCTAACACCTGGTATAGAGACAATGGAAGAAACATAAAGCCATCGTGACTAGTAAAGCACAGAGAGTCCAATTCTCCAGTCATCTCTGCATGGAGGTGGGGACTGCCCTCAAATGAAGGGTACAGGTGATCATGTAGGTGGCAACAAGAGTGAGCAGTGGGAAATCTCATGGGCATGGGGTATTTCTCACCACAGGCCCCAGTGGGTACACAGTTGTGACAACCAATAATGGAAGACCTGGGTTAGACTTGTCTACAAAGTTCCTTGCAATAGAAGAATACCCATTATAGTGGGATGGGAACCACTGGCCTTCTACATGCTTTGGACTACAGCTTCGATAATTCTTTATCACTGGCCATGCTGGATGAGACTGATGACAGCATGAGCCCAAAGATTCCCACTTCAGCATTATTTCAAATTACTACCCAGTTATCATGAACTGTATGCACAGCAATCAATTAACTAACATTTTCTGTGCTTATCATAACACCTTAACAGAAATGTTTTATCTCTGGAAAACACTCACAGTCTTTTAGGAGGCCAAGCCTTTACACAGTTATTGTGTATTTGACATTTAATTTATTAAGAAAAAGGATGATTGATCATAGTTTACACAGAAACATGCACCGGAAACATTCTCATCTACTTTTGCAACTGTTCAGGGTTATTTCTATAGAATCAAAAAGCTGTCAGTAAAATGGAATGTTAAGAGCAAACTAAAAGACAGATTTGGTGCCAATTCTCCTCAAGTGGCTTCAGTTAGACTTCTTCCCTACTATATCATGATCAACATGAACTAAAATCCTACTTAAACACTCTAATGACCACTTCAAGCTGGCTGGATAGGGTGCTGGGTACCTGGCTGCAGAGCCAAAGATTGTGAAGTTGATTTCCCATTGTGCCTCCCACAGGAAGAGCCAGTCTGTGTGGCCTTGGACAAGCTGCACAGTCCCAGAGTTTCACCCAGAGGAAGGGAATGACAAATCACTTCTGAGTACTCTACCTAGAAAACCCTGGAAAACATCACCACAAATTGACTTCACAACCTGTTGTTGTTGATGATGATGATGACGAGAACAACAACAACCAAAACCACAACAACCACAACCACAACAACCACTACTACTACCACTACTACCACCACTACCACCACCACCACCACCACTACTACTACTACTACTACTACTACTACTACTACTACTACTACTACTACTACTACTACTACTACTACTTGGGAATAATGCATACCCTCATGAGATGCAGTTAAAGCCATTTTAAATTCCATAAAATGGGGTGGTGCTCCAAGTTTGCGGAACAAGAGGAAAGAGTGGCCAGAGTATTCGCTGCAGCACTAAAACTGTGAAAGTGGAAAAATATATTTTCCTCTCCAAACTACTGAATGAGTAAAAGTTCTGAACAATATTTAGAGGGGAAGAACTTTCTGTTTCAAAGATGTTGGCCAGGAAACAACTGCTTTTGCTTTAGTGAAGAAATCAAAACCAAGTAGTAGAAGCAACACTCATGCTCTTGATAGCATTTTGGATGAATGGTAGATATTTCAAGCTGTGCAATTATAGCTCTGTACAATTTTATCTTGCCTTGTTTTGTGTCAAATTCTTTTACGCTACATGACTGAAAACAAAATGCATTTCAGTTCCTATGTTTGTCTATTGTAACGGGCATTAGGGTTACTGCCTTGCATCCTGGCCCTATGCTTGTACATCTTAAACAGGAGCTCAATGCATAAAAGGAAATAGCTGGAGCATTTCCAAGCCTGGAGAGAAATGTTTGGGAAAACTCTCTCAGCTACATTAGTTTATGGATCCAGAAATGAACCAAGAGGCACCTCCAGCAACTACGTTCTGAAAACCTGAAAAATACAAATCCTGTTGGGAAAGGATAGCCCAAGCCATTGGCATGTTATTGCTCAGTATATGTTCCTGCTCCACTCACATTCCTGTGCTTGGTACATTTACCTGGGAACAACTCTTTGATGTCAAGAGAACCTGCTTTCAAATTAAAGACTCTACTCCATCCAAAAAACGGAAATACAGCTTACAAGATTTATGTACCTTCTGAATAATGGAAACACAACTCATCTGGGCAAAAAATTTTAAAAAGATCTTGTACTTACCCAAAAGAGAATGTTGTAGCTGAAGAGTAGGTATTTGTACCAACAGCTGATTTCAGCAGTGGAATACCGGTAGTAGTGCATCTTTTATAGAGCCGCGACTGTGTAGAATTAGGAAAGAAGGCTAGAGAGGAAGAGAGGAAGGGCAATTAGTAATCGAAACACTGTGGTGTTCAAGTTAGCCAAGCCACTCCAGTGCCATATAATCTCCGCTTAAGTACAGGTTTCATTACTTCAGTTTAGTTAAGTTGTACCGTTGAGCAAACTGGTAGTGTTTGGCCTCCACCCCATGTGTGAACTCATATGTCAGGTTTCAGTACACACTTCTGTGTGACAGGATGGAACCCCTTGGTTTGGGGAACAAAACAGATCATCAACTAAAATGCAGGTTTGGCACAGGCTTGGGGCGAATTAGACAGCACTGGGTTTCATTTTTGTTCTTAGGGTTAACGACAAATCAAAACCAGTTTCAGTACTGACTTGTGCACATGGGGAAATAGAATCACGGATTTTTCAGAACACAAGAAAACATAGTTAGCATAGGCTTTGGAAAGGAAATGAGATAGGTTTGTTAACAATACAGCTGTCTGGCATCAGTATTCACACTTTGCCCTTGGAGTACTTTGTTAACTAAACAGCATGAAACTGGAAAGTAAAACATAACAGGAGAGGTTGCATTTTCTTTTTTGCCTTGGTCTGCGTCCAAGGCAAAGAAGTAAGCAAAAATGTTTCAGGTTTTCTTCCTATTGTTCTCCCAAAGGGGAGATTTTAGACGTTTATGATTACAATCCTACAGATGGGTTGGGAAGAAAAACCACTGAATTTAAAAGAATTTGTAAACTCTCCAGTAAATTCTCACAGGATCAGCCTAGAAGACCCACTCATAATTAGGTAGGTACAATGGTGAGAATAAAAATGTCCACTATAATCAACCATAACAGTCAAAATCGAAACCCTACGCATAGGAAATTTACCCAGAGGATATAAAGAGTACAATGCCATGCTGTTGCCCAAACAACTAAGCTTGGTACTCCATTACACCAGACATCTACAGAAAGTTTCGAGTGTACCAATGGCTCAAGCACATACGCATGTCCATCACATTATTGCTCAACATCTAAAAACTCACAGTTGGATATATGAACTGCTTCAGTTAAAAAATACGATTTCTATACTGGGCAATACAGATCTTCCAACCACAAACATTTACACATCTTATCTATTCATCACTACATTCCATGTCTGATGAACATGCTGTGACAAACCCAGACCTACTGGGATCTATCACACAGTTACTAAGCTGCCACCAACCATTCCCTATAATAAGTCACACAGACCAGGGATGGATTTTTAAACAACAAAAGAATAAGGTTTATTTTAAATACAAACAGGGTAAATAAAACAATCAGGTGAATAAAATAAAGTAACGTGGCTTATTCTCACACACACAAGCATACAGTTTGGTTCACCTAGAACCTTTAACTTAAAGCACAGACCCTGAACCTATCAGTTCTGGCTGACCAACAGACACCTGAACCTATCAGGTTGGTACTCTGACACACAGAAGTACCCTGTCTGACACACAGACTCCCACAACAGCTTCTTCTTCCCAGCTGCTGCTTCGTCACAACCCAGTGTCTCTCAGCATCTCCTAGTGTGTCTCAGCATCTCCCTTCACCACACAGGCATCACATATTTATACAGTACAGCCCCTCCTCCTGATGTCCCGCCTTCCACTCCCCATAGGATGGAACTTTCCCTCCAAACCCATGACAGACAGGTAACATCAGTGCTGTTATGTAACACATGCATGCGCCAACTTGCTCAAATTTTAAGGCATTAACTCAGCATGTATTTGATGAGAAGCTGAACATGGCGTACAAGTTTGTCATCTTATCTATTCATCACTACATTCCATGACTGATGAACATGCATGCACCAACTTGCTCAAAAAGTAAATTGCTAAGGCATTAATTCAGCATGTGTTTGATGAGAAGCTGAACATGGCGGACAAGTTTGTAGCTAAAAGACAGCTCCACACCCTCAGACTGGATTCCACCACTATCTGCAAAAGGTAAGATAGTGTAATCTTCCATAAGGGGCAGCCCACTGAAGAAAGCATTACGTTTTCCTGGAAATATTCACACAAAATAGAAATCCCATCCCCCCCCATCTCCTTCAGGAATTCTTGATCTCTCTGAACAGTGCAGAAAACAGACTGCTGGACTACATTGAGTTTTCGTCTGATCTTAGGGATACAGATTACCTATACAGTTCATGTGCACCTTTCAAATTCTCTCCCTGACATGGGACAGCAAAAGCTTTTGTGCACTTTTGTGTGCATTTTAGCACATAACTATGACAAACTTGTTAATGTTTTCTGGTGTCCAGAAACCCTCTATTTTGTCCAGAATTTTTTTTTAGAGGAAACCTTACATTTTGTCCAAAACACATGATTTTTCTGCAAGAAAAACTTTCTGGCAAATATTGCTCTTGTGTAGGAGTGAAAAATCTTGCACAGGTTGCTGATTTTTTAACAAGCATTTCAATGTGTGAAAACACTCCTTTTTTTCTGTCAGGGAAGAGAAAATTTGCAAGAATTGGTTGCAACGGTAAAGCAACTTTCTGAGTTTATATGTAAAGTTAGAGCAAGGACCAAGAATCATTTTCTATTTGTGTGTTAAACTTCTAACCTTCGAGATCCAATGCAGGTTTATACATATTCCATACCATATCTTTGGTTATCCTGAGATGTTTTTATTCATATTGGTCTAAAAATGGGGAAACAAGGCTAAGCTCCCTGGGCTTGGATGTAAATTAGACTTTCCGTTAACCACACAGAATGATACGGCAGAGTAGATATTAAAAAGCAAAGCTGGTCAAAACACTCCAAGGCAAAGTATTAAAGGGCAAGGGGGGATTCTTTGAAGAGGTAGCCATGTTAGTGTGTATCAGCAAGTACAGACAAAAACAGAACAAATGCATTGTGGGCAAGGTTTCCTTTAAGGCAGCAGTTCTTTAAAGGGGGTGTGAGAAAGCATTTTATTTATTTGTTTGTTTATTTGTTTTTTTTTTTTGTTTGATTTAAACCCCGCCCATCTGGCCTAAAAGGCCACTCTAGTGGTGCAAGTGGTAAAGATTGTTATTTTCCTTTTAGATTTATAATATAAAATTTAATGAATAAGCAACCAAAAATTAGCCACTAAAATTGAGACATTTTAATGTTATGTCAATACATATATGTGTATCCCTTTTTCACTACTGTTTTGCAATAAATGTAATTTTCTAAGAAATAAATAGGAACACATTTTTCAAGGGCGTACGAGAATGTATTTTGAGATTCAGTGGGGTGCTATCCACTAAAAGGATTAAGAATTTCTGCTCTAACGTGTGCGACTGCATGAGCACATGCAACTCGCCCCCCTCTGTGTAGATTTCTTCCTTCTCTGCACACCCACAGCGATCTTTTCAGGCCCTTTTTGCTCCGGTCACATTGGAACACTGCACATGGGGGAGAGCCTCACCCAATGGGGCTGAAAATTAGAGGAAACATTGATTGTGGCATTTTAAATACTAACAGATTCATGTCAGTGTGAGTTTTGGTAGATTATAATCCACTTTCCCAGATGTCTGAATTGGTTGCTTCTCATGGAGGAGGAAAAAAAAACTTCAAGAAAGGTTCGGTCGACCAGACCAATTAAAAAAGCTACACCCCTAGGTGTAGTTGTTAAGCAGTGAAAAAATTGCATTCAGGGGGACTCCACTTTCCCAGATGTCTGAATTGGTTGCTTCTCATGGAGGAGGAAAAAAAAACTTCAAGAAAGGTTCGGCCGACCAGACCAATTAAAGAAGCTGCACCCCTAGGGACTAACTAGGATATATGGCACCAAACTGAAATCTTAATGGACCCAACACAAAACGTTCACATAACTGGCACCTAAGAGCAGTCTTTACAAGCTGCAGATTATCAGTGATGCACTCGGTTCAGTGGTCCCAGAAACCTTGTGCATTACGGTGGATTTGATCTAAATCAAATTAATTTAAATCACGATTTAAATGAAAAAAAATTTTTTGGATGATTTAAATAAAAAACAATTTTTTAAAACTTGCATTGTGATTTAAATTGTGATTTGAATCAATTTGATTTAAATCAATCACTGATTTTTATCCACCCTGTTGTGCACCCAAGTAAGCAGACAGCAGAACATCCTATCAAAGTTCATGTGAGTTCACTGAAACCATTGTAACTATTGAGCAGGATGACCTTTCTCCTCAGTTTGAAACAAATTTCAGCTGTAGTTGTTAAGCAGTGAAGAAATTACATTCAGGGGGAGATACCTAGATACGGTCATCTTTTGAATTCAGAGCGCATGAGCAATATTCCTCACTAGTGTGCTGTGATACATCCCAAAACACTCCCTTCTGCACAACTATGTACAATCCAATGCATTTGGCAGCCACAGCTTAATTTTCTGCCTACCCAGCCAAATTTTCTTCTCTTGGCTTCAATTCCCACTTTCTATGGAGGAACTGAAAAACTGTTATAGACAGATGCTATTTAAAGATTTTCTGCCACTGATTTAACACCTGGCTTTGGAGAAGCTACTTCTTTAGGGTAGAAAGGCTGAAAGCTAGGGGACATGAAATTGTGTAGTGTGTAAAACGAGTAAAGAATTGAGGGAACGGACACCAGTTGGCCCGGAACATGGGGTCTTCCACCATAAACGCTTTGCAAGAACACCATGTTCTTTTTCAGTGACTTTAATGTATAGCAGATTGCTTTAAAAAACAACAACAAAAGCACATAGACAAAAGCACACATTGCTGCAGGTACAAACACCACATGAGATTTCTTTCTCTCCCTTCTCTGCTATGCTCTACCAAATCCATAGTTATGGGGGGGGCGGGGGGAGGAGAGAGGAAGGGAGAACAAGCTGGGCCAGGTTCCAGCACCATCTGCCTATCACCCAAGAGAAAAACAGTGAAAGTAAGCTTAGGTGTGTGGCACACTAATCAACTATCTGTCAGACAGAAGAAATATGATAGGTCTGACATGCTGCTTAAGTATGAATCAAACTGTACTAAGCCTGGAAAAATCTAAGGTATAATCTTCTAGGGTATAAT